TGAAACATGACATGTCATTTAGAATCAACATCTCACCTCTTGATCACAGTATGAATTGTTGCAATAGGCAGACTGTCAGAGTTAGTGACCACATGTCACTTGATAGAGGCTGGACGGGGGCTTCTTTCTCAAACACTCTCCAACTGTTAAAGGTCTGAAAATACACCATTGGAGATGTATTTCTTGGGCCTTTTGTGCATCAGGAAGAATCTACTTTTTTTTTTTTTTGAGAGATTTTCACTGTAGGGCGCGTGCGCTCGCCAGACAGAGAGAGACATAGAGACAGAAAGCAAGAAATCACCCCCCAGGGGGGATGGTCATGCCGCAATCCCTTCTCCTCCATTCTCCTCTCGGGATCTTGGGCACACACGCACACGCACCCGGCGTGAGTTTTAAGCCACTGGGTCCGGGACATGAACCGCGGTCGACTACGTGGGAGTCCAGCGACATAGCCATTACGCTAACTGCTGGTTCCCAGGAAGAATCTACTTTTAAAGTGTAAGTCCCCGTAGGGTTGGTGATTCATTTAGCGTTACATTATAGCTTAACTTGCCCGTTAGCTGAATTCACTGGCTTTGTCCATCACTCCTTTCCAATCATGGGATATTCTTTCCTTTAAGGAAGTGGTTTTCTCCCAGCCCAGCTCTGTGCTTCTGTGAGAGCTGCCAATAAGAATATTCTCCTTCCTCACTGTTAATTCCCTCTACGCTGCCACTCTAGTAATAGGTGTGGGATCAAGCTCGTCCCACCTCAGTTCCCCACTCCTTGCATAGATATGGTATCATGTCCAGGAAGGGAGTCAACCCAAGCCAGCATTGAGTTCCTTCATTCCCCTTTTCTTTTCCTTCCTTCCTTGTCTCACTCTCTCTTCTTTCTTTCTTTCTTTCTTTCTTTCTTTCTTTCTTTCTTTCTTTCTTTCTTTCTTTCTTTCTTTCTTTTCTTTCTTTCTTTCTTTCTTTCTTTCTTTCTTTCTTTCTTTCTTTCTTCCAGCATTGAGTTCCTTCATTCCCCTTTTCTTTTCCTTCCTTCCTTGTCTCACTCTCTCTTCTTTCTTTCTTTCTTTCTTTCTTTCTTTCTTTCTTTCTTTCTTTCTCTCTCCCTCCATCCCTCCCTCTCTCTTTCTCTCCCTCCCTCCCTCCCTCTCTCTCTCTCTCTCTCTCTCTCTCTCTCTCTCTCTCTCTCTCTCTCTCTCTCTCTCTCTCTCTCTCTCTCTCTCTCTCTCTCTCTCTTTCTTCCTTCCTTTCTTTCTTTCTTTCTTCCTTTCCCTTTCTTCTTTCTTTCTTCTATTCTCCTTCCTTCATGTCCTTCTCTTTCTCCCTTCCTTCCTTCTCTCTTATTTCTCCTTTTTCCCTTTTTCTTTCTTTCTCTCTCTCTTTCTTTATTTCCTTTTTTCCTCTTTAGAGGGAGAGTGTATATGCCAGAGAGAGAGACAGAGAGAGAAACCACCCTCAAAGGGAATGGTCACACTGCAACCTTTCTCCTCCATCTCTCCCTTCTGTCAAGATTTGGGCATGCTGGACCGCACACATGCCCAGTGTGTTTCTCAAGCCACCTGATGAGACAAACTGTGCAACCAGCCATGTGGCGATTCTATGCCATGGGCTTGCTCTCTTCTACGTATTCTTTTTTTTTTGGTAGAGGTTTTTGCTACACGGCGCGTGTGCTCACCAGAAAGACAGAGAGAGACAGAGACACTGAAAGTGAGAAATCACCCCCCAGGGGGATGGCCATGCCGCAATCCCTTCTCCTCCATTCTCCTCTTGGAATCTTGGGCACGCACGCACACGTACCCAGCGTGAGTTTAAGCCACGGGGTCTGGGACTTGAACCGCGTTCGATGACATGGGAGTTCAGCAACATAGCCATTATGCTAACTGCTGGTCCCCTCTTCTACTTATTCTAGCTAGAGCTTGTGGAAGAATGATTTCTTTCTATGAGGAGAAATGATAACCAGGACCTCAGTGTCATTCATGTCATTCATCTCTGCTTCTTTCTGCATTGAGGCATCCTTATCTCAAGCTAGATATCAGCAACAACTGGAGATGTGGCCATAAGTAGCTATGGACTGCCCTGCTTATCATTTTAGACTTTATTTTGAAGTGAATTGAAACAGGGCAAAGTGACAAGGTCTCTGAGAATTCTAGCTAATATTACTCTGGGGCCATGAGGGCCTTCACAATCTTCTGGACTATTGGATTCAGGGTGAGGCTGCACTAGCCAATGGGAGAGCAAGAATTTGCTCTGTGCCATATGTCTTTCCGCTGACCCTCTCTACCAAATAAGAGATGCAGCTTGTGGGTCCTAAAAGGAGTCACTGTTTTGATCTGTAACGAAACTTGTAATAACTAGTTTTATTCAAATTTTTTCCTTTTCTTTCTTTCTTTCTTTCTTTCTTTCTTTCTTTCTTTCTTTCTTTTGTTTTTTAAATGAGAGCAAGGGAGAGAAACAGAGAAAGAAAGAAGAAAAAGGAGAGAGACAGAAAGGTATTTTTTGACAGGGTCTGTCTCCATTTTGTGCCCCAGCCTCCTAGTTAGCCTGGGCTATGGATGCTCATGACAGTGCCTGGCATATTCAGGTTTGCCCAGGTTCAGTTCCCATGTGGCTTCCAGCCCCTTAAGTCAGCTACTGTAGCTGAGACAATTTTATTTAAATTTTAAATTAATATCTACTTATAAATACATATGACTTGTTTTTGTCCTTTTACAGGTAGTTTTTCTGTTTGTTTTGAAACAAAAATATAGAGGAAAAAATGGGCAAAGAAAGAGATTTAATGTCCCCCCTCCCCAGCTCCCTGGCAGCTCGGAATTATTTAAATTATGACCTACCGAAATAGCTAAGAGACAAAATTATCACTAGATGATTGATATTAGTTTACTGAACATGATATATTCTTGATCAAAAAAATGAAAGAATTTAATGTTCTGCAATAATAGCTTTTGCAATAGGTTTAAAATGTAGTTCAGAAGTTGAAAGTTTCTTCCAAGTGATCTGGAAAACTTTCTCCAGTATGCTTTTAAAAAAAAAAAAATTTAAGGAATTATTTATTTATTTAATTCCATTTATTATTATTATTATTTAAAAATTTTGACCAGACAGAGAGAGAGAGAGAGAGAGTAAGAGAA